TGTTATGCCAATGTAAAAGCAAACACACAGACATCCTACTTTGTTGACCTTCTGTGCATAGTGTTTGCTGCACAGAAGAACTGGGCTGCCAGCATCCCACCATTCCAGAGAAAGAAATTTTGTAAACAGCAGCAAGAAGTGAATATTCAGCTGACATGTTGGAGTGATTTTGTTAATTTTATGGAAAATACAGATATAGTCACTGTGGGAGATTACTCTATCATTATCCAGAGGAGTGGTAAACGCAGCTGCATCTACAATACAAGCAAACTCTGCTTGGGATAACTGAGCATGCCCAGTTCTGACAAGGCAGGTGAAGTGCGGAGGACAGACATTGGGCACTATTTTGAGGCACTGCACAACCCTTTTTATTTTCCCTGAACTTTTCCAGGACAGTTCCCTACCACATTTTGATAGTCCTTCAATCTTTGCATTCCCTTGACCGTTTCTCCATCCATTACTGAGCTACCTACTTCTGCTATCCTATCCACATGTTACTGTAAGAATTTTTCTGTTCTTTTTAGAGCAAATATCCAATTGCTTCAGGTAGCAAAAGACTAAATCTTAATTAATTAGTGCATTAATCCTATGCTCCCTTTTTCATACTTTACAAGCAACCTAGATAATAAAAATGTAGATCTAAGACCATGAATAACATGGGTTTAAATAGTCATTTTATTTTAAATGAGAAGAAATGTATTTGTGTGGAAATAAATAATACACAATATTTTCTGATAATGTTTTAATCTTATAGCAGTCTTTAAACTACACAAATGCCATTTTCTTTCTTTAAATCTTATGGAAAACTCCTGTCACTTTAAATAATAGATTTATTATTCATGTGCAGTCTTTTATAAAATCTACACATGTGTTATTTTTACCATGTTGTACAAGAAAATGTCTAAAATCTAGCAAGTGAACAACCTTGCCTGGGGTCACACAAGTTAGTATCCAAATGAAAACTGAATTATGGGGGAAGACTTCCTTCCCTTCCCCAGGAAAATAAGACGACATACAGTGCTTGTGACATGTTCATATGTAAACCAAGCCTATGTCTAAGCAATAAATATCCCCTAGAGAATGAGGCAGTTTGATTAAATCCATGTAAGAAACCCAGAGGCTGCATCAGGGAATCATCTGTCTACTGAAGGAAGACTTGAGCATTGAGTTCACCTCCCATTTCACAGGAGATAATAATGGCTGTTACCTGCAAACTCCTGCAGCACCTTGCAGCAAACCTCCAAGCACTGGATTCACGTTCACCTTCACTTCTTCCCCAGTCACACCAACAGACAAGATCAGTTTCTGAAGTCCAAGCTTAACTGCACCTGTGCTCTATCTGATGTCTTCAGAGACCTCATTCAATTATCCTCTTATTTAGATATTTTCAGTATTGCCTTGCTCTTTAGAATTTTCATCTTTGCAAAGAAATATATACCTATCATACCCATCTATTAAAACCACTCTTTTAAACACGTCTTTTTATAAATCACTTTCCATTTACAACATAGTTCTGTGAATAAAAAAGGCAGAAGGTACTGACTCTACATGCTCATTCCTTGCTCGGATAGATCACATCAATTAGCCTATTTCCTGCAAGGTAATCAAACTCAAGGCTACTCAAGTCCAAAGAGCATAATAACCTTGAGCTCTCTGAACTCATCTCTTTAACTTCTTATTCCATATTTTCTCTTATGAATATCAAAGATATCTCAAGGTCTACATGAATAGAAACTTAGCTCATCACTTATACTTTTTATCTAACACCTATCTCTGAAAGTACTTCAGTTACCCCTCTTTTCCAGCCAACTCCAAAATCAGATTATGCTAAATACTACTCCTTCATCTTCAAACAACATCTGCCCACAAGTTCTATTCTGTCCCTGAACTACTTCATAAATATACCCCAACTTTCTCTTTCTGGTGCCATTCTGATTAGCTAAGGGTTATGACACTCCTCATCTAGATGTCAATTCCTGCTTCTATTATTGCTGCTGTTGAATTCACTTTCTTTTATATTGGTAATGTGGTCTTTCTAAGTCGAAATTATTTTAAATCCTCCAATGCTTTCATTTTATCTGATATTCAAGTCAATTATCATCTGGTCCTTGGCTACATTTCTGACTTCATCTTGGTCAACTGCTATTTCTCCCTATTCTATATACTAGCCATATCAAAACACTTTTGATTTGCCAAATGTTGTGCAGTATTTCTCAAGGCTCTATGGTTTTATAAATCTCCTTCCTTTTGCCTGCAAACACATTTGGTTTGTGTTTCTTCTAGCTAAATTATTACAGCTTCAAAGATGACTCAAGAGTAGTATTTCCACTGAAGTCTGGGTACTGCCCCACTTCTCCAAACCTGTGCTGCAGATCCTTTTCTCTATCCTTCCAGACAACCTGTGTTGATCTTCTCCTAGCCCAGCACTTAAAAAACTGTGGTAAGACACCTAACGTGAGAGGTTTCTATTATTTTGATTAATATAAAAAGAACAGATTTCATATATTCCATAGGTATACTTCCAAGAAGACAACACTTATCTCTCTCTTCTCCCAACATCCCTCCCTCTCTTCTCTTGCTCCATAAGTTTTTACAAAGATGTAATTTGAATCTACTCTATGTTCACAGACTTAATTCACACACACTCATAATATACAAGAAAAGTAGAAAACCATAGTTCTACAGGAGTATATACAAAGGCTAAAAATGACAATCAGATTATAAAATGTCCATTTCATTCATATATATTTCTTGTAATCTGTATTAACTGCCACATATTGGAGAAAACATACAATATTTGTCTTTTTGAGACTGGCTTATTTCACTAAGCATAATCATTTCCACTTGCATCCATTTTGTTGCAAAAGACAGAATTCTATTCTTTTATATGTCTGAGTAGTATTCTACAGTGTATTTATACCACATTTTCTTTATCCAGTCATCAGTTGATAGACATCTTGGTTGGTTCCATGCTTTAGCTATTGTGAATTGAGCTGTAATAAAAATGGGGGTACAAATACCTCTTTCACATGCTGATTTCATTTTGTTCAGGTAAATTCTCAAGAGTTGGATGGCCTGGTCATATGGTAAATTTTTTTTTCAGATTTCTGAGGAATCTCTATACTGTCTTCCATAAAGGTTGTGCTTACATTCCCACCAGGAGTGGATTAGGGTACCTTTAGCTCACATCCCTGCCAGCATTTATTGATTTTTGATTTTTGGGTGAGTGTTTTAACAATTTTAAGTTCATAGTACAATCCTGTTATCCATACACATAATGTTGTACAGCAGATCTCTAGGACTTAATCATCTTACACAGAAAAACTGTATTACTGTTTAAAGGCAGTCCAAAATCTCCTCCTCCTTTTGGCCCTTGGAAATTACTATTCTACTCTGTTTCTGAGCTGATACTTTTGATACATCACCTAATTGGAATCATGAAGTATTTATACTTCTGTGACTGGCTTATTTCACTTAATATAAGGTCTTCAAGTTTCATCTACATTGCCATATATTTCAAGATTTTTTCTGTTATTGGCTGAATAATATTCTAATATATATATATATGTATATTAGAACAATATTCTAATACACACACACACAACGCTACCCATTCATCCATTAATGAGTATATATTTGGAGGGTTTCCACATATTGGCTTTAATGAATTAGTGAATAATGCTTCAATGAACATGATAATACTAATATTGCTTTGAAATCCTATTTTAATTCTTTTGGATAAATACACAGAAATTTGATTGCTGGATTATATGACAATGCCACAGAAATTAAAACAGAATGGTTCGGGTATAAAGATAGATGTGAATGAGTAGAACAGACTACAGTCAAAAGTCCACGTATATACTGTCAGTTGATCCTCAACAAGGATGCTAAAAATATAAAAATACATGACAGGGAAAGTATAGTCTATTCAACAAATAGCATTAGGAAAACTGGTAACCATATGCAAAAAAATACTAAAATTGTATCATCCACAAAATTTTAAATCAAAAAAATGAAATACCTAAACTTAATACCTGAGACTGTAAAACCATATAAGAATACATAAGGTGTAAGCCTCATGGCATTGCTCTTGGCAATGATTTCACAAATACAACACGAGAAATAAAGAGAATCAAAGAAAAAAAAGTCAAGTGGGATTACATAAATCTAAAAAGCTTCTGTATAGCAAGAGCTATCATCAGAGTGAAACATCTTCCTAGAACTTTTTATGCTGTCTTATATTTGTTACTTTCTTATATTTCTTCACATATACACACATTGCTGAATTAACTGAGGAGCTGAAAAGACAAATCCTATGACAGCCAGGATCAAAACTGAAGGATATTTTCTCTACTGGGGATGCTGGAAAGGGGTTGGATGTACACAAAGAGAAGAAAATGAGAATTTCAGGCAAGTTCCCCAGGAAATTTCCCAGAATGTCATTCGATTTTGTATTAATCAGCTTATCATTATTTCAACAAAATACTGAACACAAGCTGCTTAGGAAGGAAGGATACATATTTTGTCTCACAGTTTTGGAGGTTCACAGTCTAAGATTGTCTCTCCATTGGTCTGATGCCTGCTGAGGCCGGAGGATTGCAACTGTGGAACATGTGGGAAGGAACAATTACATGGTGAGTCCAGAAGCAGAGAGCAGCTGTGCTGACTCAGGCAGTTGCAACCAACCCTCTCATTAGAGCTGCCTTCCAGGGGAATGTTCCCAGTGAACAAAGGCCTTCCCACTAGGCATACCTCCTTGACATCACAATTGGATTAAGTTTCCACGCTTCAGTAGCATTAATTTAAGACTTTTCACACCATAGCAGAGACATTAGATTACTCCTTGTTCCTTGTGAGTCTCTAGTTTGGAGGAGTAGGTAACTGAGATTCTCTACCTCTTGGTAGAGAATCTTCTTTAACCATGATCCCACAACCTAACTGGCTAACAAGACTGGAAGCTGAACACTCTGAAGAACAAAATAATGGAAGCCCCTTACCTGAGACAATACAGGTATAAAATCAAAGAAGAAACGATCAACAGGAAGATGTAAAGTAGCATGGTGACCATCACACCAAGAATTCCCAGCTGTTTGGTTCTTACAAACATCCAGTACAGCTTTGCTGCATCAGCCACAGGAGCCTCCTCATTGTGTGAAAACCTCTGGCAAAAGAAAACTCAATTTTAAAAAATAAGGATGGGAAACACTGGTCATGCAGCTAAAATAGTGACAATTATTTAAAAAACCACTATTTGTTTTTAAATTAAGTCTCTAGATACTGAAGATTGCCATATCTTCAACTGCACAAAGAAAAATGTGAGATTTGCATAAAGGTTAACTAAGTTTGACTTATTTTTCCTCTAAGCCAGCCTTTAAATGCATGTGTTTAACATGCAATTCATACAGTAATAGCCATGTTTTATTTATATACTATTAACTCAGAGTTTAATGGGCACAGGATATGAAAAAATCAATTATGATGGTGGCAAATTCTTTAATTTCTGAGGCAGATTTGATAAGATTTAATTTGTGCTGTGCATAAAAGAGATGGCTTATTTCAAGTACTTATAAAAAAGCCATCACAGTTTAATGTGAGCTTGAAAACTAAAGCTTACATTAGGTTAAATTTAAAAATAAGCCCTTATTTTAATCAAGGTAAAACATATTCACTATTGGATTATAAATAAATAAAAGGCAATAGGTCTTTAAAAAATAAAATATAAATCCCCAAGGATCTACAGAATCATTATGTGACATCTCTGACCTCTAGGTTTAAAATAATATGAATATCTCATAATTATAACTTTCACGGTATCACATGGAAGTACCATGCATATATATATTTATATGTATATGGATATGTTTTATATATATATATCACTTTATATACATATATATATCACTTTTCTCTAAGTCAGGAAAGAGGGAAGGATTTCTTTAGTTCTTAAACTGACAATTAAGTAAATATAGCTTAAAAAGGCAGTTTTAAAACTAGTTAATCCAAATCACATATGTGTGGAGGAAAACAGAAGCCTAGACAGCTTAATTTGTATTTTCCCTACACCAAAATATACTTTAGTAATTGAGCAATGACTAGAATTCAGATGGTTCAACCCTCAACTACTGCTCTTTAACGACCACACCAGACTTTTATTTTTATACTCTACATTTGTTCATCAACCTGCCTTACAAAATGTGGATGTGCTCTAGGACTTTGGACAGCAGATTTTGAAGGGTTCTTGTGCATTTTTCCAATTTCAAATCTTATCTTTCTGCCATTTCTTAAAGAAATAGATACAATATTTATTGATGAAATTTCAACATAAAAATGGTATATGTTTGATGCAGCTAACATAACTGACAGGTGCTAATAATTCATCTGATCCACGTGTACTGAATGCCTACCAGGTGTCACGACCCTCAGAAAACAAGACTGCATGAACTTCAATAAAAACCCTACCTTCTGGAGCTTGTATTTAAGTGAGAGGGGGTTGTGAATGACAGGAAGCATGTATGTAAGACTAAGAGCAACACGTATATCAGAGAATGATATTATGAAGACAACAACAAAGCAAAAAAAGGAAAAATGAATAGGAGGGATGAGAATATGTTACTAAAAGTTGGAGTTCAAAAAAAGTATGATTAAAAAGCCAGACCTGAGAGTGTACAGATGCTCTTTGATCTATAACGGGCTCATGTCCCCCCAATCCCTCCCAGAAATTGTCAACTGAAATATCCTAAGTGGAAAATGCACTGAATGCGCCTAACTTCCTGAACATTCTGGCTCAGCCACCCAAACGCTGCACAGCAAAGGGGGTGCCCCAGTGACCAGGGCACGGGGCGAGGGGGCTACCTGGGAACTGTGCTTGCTGCCCTGACCAGCATCGCCAGAGAGAATCAGATCACCCAGAGCTGGCCAAGGATAAATTCAACATTACGAGTACAATTTCTACTGAAGGCACATCATTTTTGCAGCATCATTTAAGTCAAAAAATCCTAAGACAAATCATTGTAAAGACTGCCTGTACTTTCCACGTGGCATTTGCACACGCTACCCTTACTACATGTTTTGGTGGACAGATTTCAATTCCACAACTAGACTGTATGTTTCTGCCTGGGCCACTGGGACAGAGGCTCCTATATGCCTTTGGTTGTCCACCAAAAAAAAAAAAATCACATCATTACTAAATTATACTCCTCTTTATTCCTTTTGTGTCACATGCAGACTTTGCAATATGCAGTCCCAGTTAGTCCCTCATTTGTTTCTCCCAACAGTATTGTGAAATGAGTAAGGCAGGTCACCCTTTGTAGATGCTACTATGTGTTTTATGGTACATATGAGGAAACAGAAGGCTGGAGAGGTTAGCTGACTTATCTAATGGCATATACTTGAGAAATGATAGATCTGGGGTCAGAACAAGTTCCAACTCTGAGGTTCTCCTACTACTCCACGGTAACTTCTAGTGGAATGCTGTGGTTTGAATGTGTCCTCCAAAAAGCATATGTTGGAAATTTAATCCCCAGTGAAATATTAATTAAAGGAACCACCCTCATGGAGGGATTAAGGCCAACTATAAGCATTTTAAGCTGTGAGTTTGATGTTTGCCCACTTTCAACCTCTATTCACCCTTCTTCCATAGGATGAAACAGTTTGGAGACATGTGCTGAGGGTCAGGTCTTCAACCTCGAACTTCTCAAACTCTAAACTATGAGACAATGTTTATTATAAATTACATAATTCAGGTATAGGACTGTGAGGAGCAACTCGGACTAGACTAAGTTACTGGAATTAAGACTTATTCTATGCATCTGCTCTCCCACAATATGGCGCTGAGAAGGGAGAAACAGCTTCTACACAGCTGCCTCCAGTTCAACCAATAAACTGTAGGACCTACTCCTGATTGGAGGAGAGCAGCGTACTCGGCATGTGGGTAGCAGAGTTGGGATTGGTGGAAGAGGACTATAAAGGAGGAGAGAGACAACATGCACAAGGAACATCTATCTGAAGGAACACCTGAGCAGCCCCCGAGAGAGCCGGCCGGCGGTGTGCCGCTCCCCCCCGGAAGTGGGGAAAGTGGCCAGGGGGAACCGCCCTTCCACAGAGGTGGAAGGGTCGGTAGCCAACCCGGGAAGAACCAGCAGCAAACCCGGGGAGGGCCGAGCAGACAAAAGAACAGCACAGGGTCCTGTGTCGTTCCTCCACAAAGATGGGGAGCGACATAGGACGAAATGGATTAAGATATGGAGTCCCAAGAATTATTTGCTGCAGAGCTGGTATTGTGGCCCAGCTGTTTAAGCCTCTGCTTACAAGGCTGCCATCTCATATCTCAGTGCCACTTTGAATCCCAACTGCTTTGTTTCTAGTCCAGCTTCCTGTTAACACACCTGAGAAGGCAGTGGAAGACGGCCCAACTACTTGGGCCAATGCCTCCCACGTGAAAGATGGAGTTACTAGTTCCTGACTTTGGCCTGACCCAACACTGGCTGTTGTGGGCATTTGGGGTACAAATCAGTGAGTGGAAGATGGAAGATTGCTCTCTCTCTCTCTTTTCTCTGTCTCACTCCGTTACCCTGCCTTTAAGATAAATATATAAATAAATCTTTTAAAAAAGAATTACCTGCTGAACGACAATGGTTGAATTCTATTTTTCTTTCTCATTCATGTATGATATTCTTATTGCTGTCTATACTGAGGGCAAGAAAGTAATGTCATATTTGTTCTGCATCTTTTAAATCTAAGACAGAAAGTATATAGTCAAAAATAGACACTTCTCACTTGAAATACCCAATAGCAAATTTTCCCGGTGTTTTTATCCAAATGAGGGCTCTGTTAGAGAAAGAATTGACCTCAATGGAATTGTACATCATACATACCATCAGTGAGGAAATGTATTGCCAACTTACATCTGAGCCAGCAAGCTGAGAGACTGGCAAGCATTACAAGAAACATCAAGAGCCACCCAGTGGCTTCAGCCTCAAACCAGTCCATCTGCCACATCTCCATCCAGATCACCAGGAACAAAGTGAATCCACAACAGGAAACTACCTGGATCAAACCCAAACGATTTGATTCGTAGCTTTATCTGCTAGGAGGATTCTCAGCTTTCTCTGCTGAAGGGCCTGGAGCTATGAACTCAGGCAACTCAATCCTCCTGAGTGTCAGTCAAGGAGAATTGCAATTCCATGGGGAACGATCAGCCTCAAGGTTTAATGAGTATCAGAGCCACCTGTTAAACACAGCCTGCTGGGTCTCTGTCCAGACGTTTTACTCAGCAGATTTTATGTACAGCCTGAGATTTTCTACTTTTCATGAAGTTCTAGGTGATATTAACACTGTTGTTCTAAGGATCGCCCTTTGAGAACCACTGCTTTAGATCAGCCCTCTCAGGCTTCAGTGCATTGTCAAATCACCTGGAGAACACGGTGCAATGCATATTTTAATTCCGTTAGTGGGCATGATCTGTTTGAGTGCACAACTTTAGAGATTTTGTAAATATAACAAAAGTAGATGTCGTCTGCAATAAAATGTGATGGATTCTCATTGGCGAGTTTGTGTTTTTTGCAGATTAAGAGGAAACCTTTGGATTTTCTCTTCGAGTGGAGAGAGATGGATGCTATACTCATGCATTAAAATCCAAGTCAGCTTCCATCAACGACAGACCTCTTCAAGGTTCTGAAATGGCCATGCTGCAGGCTACTTTCCTACAGATTACATCAGAGGCCTCAGAATGAGTTAGTACTGCTCATTTTGTTAGCTGCCTTGGATATGGTGAGCTGTCCAGCTATCTGCCGAAGGGCCTGATCAGAATAAGGAAATCCATTCTAGAATGACTGCTTATGTTCTGAGGTGGTCTCAGAAGATCATAAGAGACAGCTGCTCATCCTTCCAATCAGAAGTGGCAGCAGACTCAGCCCAGCAACCCAGCCTTCCCCATGTGCACACCAGAACTCTGGGAGGAAGTGCAGGGTGCCCCAGGATAGGTTCCTCCCAGACAGCATCCTGTCTGTCTTCCGCTCAATAAACCTTGATGACACAGGCTCCTCCTTGCTTTCTTGCAGTCTAAGAGCAGTAGACTGTGGAAGGAGTCCACAGCTCTAACTGTCCACTCAGAATGTGGCCAATCAGCATGATGAATAGAACTTAGTCATGGAGTGGAAAACACAACCACTTCTTGCTCAAAAAGCTTCCTCTTTTATAATGTCATCAAGGTTCAGACAGTGGTCGCATACTAGAACGTGAAACAAGACTGTCAAATGCTGATCAGCTTCCAACATAGGATTCCATACCCAATCCTGGGACTGGGAATCAGAATACTGGAAGTCTTTGCATGTGTTGTTTGGAGCTCAAGTTAATGACATTAGGTGGTCTACATAGTTGGAGTCAATAATTGCATGTGCTGTCAGGTTCTAGGCATTTCTACAGAGGTCATTTCCAGTCAGCAATATGCAGTCAGAGTTATCACATGAGATCTAGAAAGACATCAAGTGGACTCAGAGCTTCAAGGACTCCGGGTTTGCTAAGAGCAGCCCAAGAAATGCTAGCCAACTGGAAACCCAGCTCGCAAAGCCTAGCAAAGAGTAAAGGAAGGAAGAGCCTGCTCGTCTGGGTGAAGTGTCTAGCACCTTGACATTCATAGTGTGGTCCATGGAACCAGCATCGCTGGCATCATCTAGGAACTGCTGAAAATGCAGAATCTCAAATGCTTTCTGCTGAATCAGAGTGTGCATTCTAATCAGCTCTCTCCAAAGTTTGAGAAAATACTATAGTCTGAGAGAGATACATAAAAATGGAAACAGGCTCTGCTAACCTAAGCTTCCAAAGACATCACCCAGGATGTGGAATATTTTTGCAGAGTGGTATGGAAAGCACTTTGGTCTTTGATTCTAAAAACACATTAATGATGGTAGACTCAGTTTCAAATACAGTTAACATAGATTCCATCAAAATACCCCATTTCTATCATCTGCTTTGGCACAGTGAATGTTTTTTCAATGCATATGCATTAATTTTGAAACTGTTCCTTTTTCCTTTAAAAGAGGAATAAACCCATATATAGACATTATTATATAATAAGATAATATATAGATTAATAATATATGTGACTATTTGATAATATTGATTAATTTTTGGTATCCAGCTGCTGTCTTGCACGGGGCTATATCTTATGACCAGGACTACAGAATATAATTTAGTTAAAAATCAGATTTCCCTTATTTCTGCCTATGGAAGATGCTTGAAAATTTGATGAATCCAACTGAAAGTGCTTTTTGGCTTGAATTATCTATTTTTGTGTACACATTTCACTTTGCTTTGATAATTGAACCTAAAGCATTTGATGACTTAAATGAAGCTTAGATAAAACTGCTAAATTGCAGCATAGGAACTGTGGTTAAAAGGAAAGATACTGAGGGAGACCCCACTTGGCCTGGCATGTGCTGGAACTTGGGTTAGCCAGGCTATACCTGGGTCCTCCCTGTCTGCTCATAGCAGCTGTCCTGACATCTTTAATGTCAGTGGTTCTCAAACTGTGGTCTCTGAACCAACAGCATCCACATCACAGCACCCTACCAAAACAGAAGCCCTGGGGACAGCACCCAGCAATCTGTTTTACCAAGACCTGAAACAGATTGCGATGTGGAATAAAGACTGAGAACCAACGCATTCCAGTAACACTCACCAGGAAATCACACGCCTTGCAAACTCAGGGACATGATATTTGAATGTGTCAATAAATGTGCACTAATTTCTACATCAATTTAACTGAGATTTAAGCCTCAAAGTCACTAGTAAATTAAGAATTTTGATGTGATCAAATAATTATCAGCAAGGATAGCATCCATTTGATTGTACAAAGAAAAACATTGAATCAGTGTTTGAAGACAGATTTTGCCAGCATGGAAGAAACACTTGTTTCAGAATTCAGAAATCTGGATTCTAATCCAGTTGCCATGTGAGCTGGCTCTAAGACCTTGGACATATTGTATATTTCTGTATCTGGCTTCTCCCAGTTGTATAATGAGAATATTTGCCCCACCGACTTATGAATTGTTGTAAATATAAAATCAAATAAATTATGGGAAGTTACTTGAAAATTACAAAGTACTCCTCAATTAATATAAAATAAAAATATTTAATAAATAATAACAATAAATAAAATAATATTAGCATCATTAAGCATTGTTTCTTCATCATCAAGTACCTTAAGTGCATCATTTAGAATGGTGAAATCCTGAAACTCTACATTGCAGGGTAAAAATACACATTTGTCATTTCATAGTCATCACAAAAGTAAAAACCAATGACCTATGGAGTGACTTTTTAATGTATTTATTTATACATGTGTGTTTATTTATTGTATTTATTTATTTAGAAAGATGTAAAAGCTATTATTCACCTTACATGATTCATGAATTACAGAAGATCACTACCTCATAAGGCAGATAAATAATCAAATCAATTAAAGGAACTACTATATGACAAATATTTTGCAAAGTGTTCCTATCAAAGTCCTTAATATTAGAAGTTATCAAAAATTACAAAATTGAAAAATAGATACTATTTGTAATAATTCTGAAAATGTGACAAACTAGCCTGGATTTGACCTCCACGAAGATGTCTATCTTATTTGGCAAGAGTTTATTTAAGATAGCTAAGATTACACTAAAATTGATTATATTAGACATCCACAATTTTTATGGGGAAAAACTTAACTTCAACATAACATGACTATTGAACATTCATCATTATTGAAACTTCCCATGTCAGCTGATGCAGGCACTAAAGCCACACTGCATGTCAGCGACTCATATCCTGGTTATTTTATTTGACTTACCCCCAGGAATATATCCACAATAAACACCGCCAGTGGGTCTAGAACTGTCCATACAGCCATGGTTGTGATTAATTTTGACAAGACATCAGGACAGGAGGCAAACAGTAGCTGACAGCCCCATTTGACCAGAACCAAAAGAAGTATGACTGCGTTCAGCAGTAAAGTCCCCACCACAACCATGGGCAGCTCTTCTCCGCTGTGAAGTGAAGAGGCCGGGTAGCAGAGCTCCACGGTGTGAAGGGAGGGCTGGAATCTGCAGGAAACAGTCACAGGCAGGCAAGCAAGAATTTTACCAAAGGCAAAGTATACAGAACAATTTTTAAAACGGTGTGCAGTGGTTTCGCTCTTTTTTTATTAATTAATTAATTAATTATTTTTTTGACAGGCAGAGTTAGACAGTGAGAGAGAGAAAGAGAAAGGCCTTCCTTCAGTTGGTTCACCCCCCAAATGGCCGCTATGGCCGGCGTGCTGTGCCGGTCTGAAGCCAGGAGCCAAGTGCTTCCTACTGGTCTCCCATGCAGGTGCAGGGCCCAAGCACTTGGGCCATCCTCCACTGCCCTCCGGGGCCACAGCAGAGAGCTGGCCTGGAAGAGGAGCAACCGGGACAGAATCCGGTGCTCCAACTGGGACCAGAACCCTGGGTGCCGGTGCCACAGGCAGAGGATTAGCCTAGTGAGCCACGGCGCCGGTCGGTTTCTCTTTTAAGTATAGAAAAGCTTGGCGTGTAATAGAACCTCAAAATTGTTAGAAATCTTCATCTCTTCTCCTTCTCTCTCTACTTTCCCAATATCTTGCTTTCAAGGAAAAGGCAAGTTCTACTCTGTCCATTGTTCTGATGAGTCTCAGATACAACCCTACACATTGTGTCCATCAGAGTCACTGAGCACAGCATCTTCTAAACTAAGACTTCCCCTGCAGTTCATGCAGTACTTGTTATTACACTGCTCGAAATGCGTAATATCGGTGGATTTTCTGATGTGTCACACTCTAACAGGCATGAGAAATAGATATAGATATCATAATTCTTCAGAATTTGGGTATAGCTGATTAATTTTGAATGTTATTCCTCTAACTGGACTCCCAGATACACCAGCAACACTGGCACCATTCACACACAAACCATCCTATTTCTCAGTTGATGCAACTTCATGACCTATGGGTTAAATTCAATCTGATCCCAGTAATTGAAGCAGCTATGACCCGGGCATTGGAATCATCCTTCTGTGCAGAGATTTCAGCTCACTCTGAGTTTACCAAAATTTCGACACAGGTAAAGCTGCTTCATGATGACTGCTGCTGTAATCCTATTCATCAGCAGTCTATTAAAAAGAAGTCTTCTTTTTACCCACTATTAACTTTTGCTTCGAGGGAAGTTTAATGCTTTGTTCCTATGCTATTGTGAGTATCCAACAAAATACCTTTCCTAGCACAATACCTGATGCAGAGTGAGAGTAGAAGTAATGCTTTTGTTGGTGCTGTTACTGCAATATCCCACAGTTATGATGGAATGCAGAGCTCTTGTTGGCTTCAATCCTGCAGACCAACAGAGTAACCAGCATAGCATCCTGCAATATTTTAGGTCTTCTCTTGTTTAATAAATTGGCTAAATTGGACTGTCAAAAAACTTTTTGCAATCTCACTTTATTAACAACTAATAAAGACAGAATTGCTCATTACAGTGAAAAATGAAAGAGATAAAAGAATGTAACATTTGTGCTTTCTGCTTTGGAAATGTTGGAATAGGAAAGAGAAAGAAAGAAAGAAAGAAAGAAAGAAAGAAAGAAAGAAAGAAAGAAAGAAAGAAAGAAAGAAAGAAAGAAAGAAAGAAAGGAAGGAAGGAAGGAAGGAAGGAAGGAAGGAAGGAAGGAAGGAAGGAAGGAAGGAAGGAAGGAAGGAAGGAAGGAAGGAAGGAAGGAAGGAAGGAGAGAGAGAAAGAAAGAAAGGGAGGGAGGGAGAAAGGAAGGAAAGAAGGAAGAGTGAGCAAGCAAGCAAGAAAGAGATATCCATTAAAATTCCACATTATAAATGCAATTATTTTATATATTTATATCTGTGTATATATTTATATATGTATGCGTTTAAAATTTTTCATGTTCTATAATATAATCAGATGCTTATGATTGCATTTCTTAAAATTTTAAAAAAGTGTATTTTAGTATATTTATATATATTCAGATATATATATATACACTAAACATACACATGTATTCCTTTTCATAGTCTTAAGTTTTTTGCAATCTTCTTAATTGAAAATACATATACATTTTTATTTTATCTGACATATCTACATTTGAGAAGATGAACTTTACTTGTACTGATGTCTATCTGTCTGTCTACCTGTGGTGTCTATGTAATCATGTTTATGGAGAGATAACCTTTAAAGTGTCATTTTTTCCCGAGGATAATGGCCCTGAAAGCTGCCCGGGTTTTGAGTGTGGTAATTGTTTGAATTCAATCATTTTGCAGAAGAAGCAATCTTTGCTTTGCTGAAGATAGGCGATAAATCAGACTTATGTTACTACTCAAACACCTTCTGCCTAAGTCACTCTGATGAAATCAAGCTGAAATAAAACATCATTGCTAAATCCCTTCTTGAATCCTGTGGATATTAGAACATATTTGAATCTGCTCAATTTTAAATAGATACTGATATACACATTATACATTTGTTTATACCAGTCTATGAGACCGTAACTGTAACAGAAACTCTTACTCTAAAACAGAGACATTTTCATCTTTTCAAATCATACCTGCATTTTAGGTTTTGGGGTAAATGGATGGGAGAGGTGTTTCATGCTTTCATTTGTTCTATCAGGAGCAAAATGCATTCCTTTGACTTTCAGGGGAAAGCACTCACTTTGTAACGGGAACTGAAATGGCCTGGAGGAAAAGCCACTGGCCAAGGTAATGCAGGTAGAGCCTCGGGAACCACAGAGAAACCATCAGCAGGATAATGTACCAGAAGCTCTGGCTTTGCCACTGAGCTAACCCAAGTTCTGAAAACACTGACATCAGCACAAAGTGGAGATGCTTGACAAATTCTCCAGATCCCCTTCTATCAGCAACTGAGGAGCAGCTAGAAACAAGCAAATAAAAATAATGAGTAAAGTAAAATATGAGTATCCGTGAAGACATCATAAAGTTGAATGAAATTATTTTGAACTACTTGGGACTCAAAATTATTTACATTCCTTTTTGCTATAATGAATGATTAAAGTGGACTAGAAATAAACATGGAGGAGCAGGTGTTTAGTTCATTGGTTAAGCTGCCAGTTAAGATGCCCACGCCCCCATGGGGGTCCTGGATTCCAGTCCCAGCTCTGTCCTGAATCCACATTCCTGCTAATAAGTTTTGGCTCAAGCAACTGGACCTGGATTGTATTCTTAGGTCTTGGCTTTGGCCCCTGCCTGGCCCCAGTCACGTGCAGGCATTTGGGGAGTGAACCAGCTAATGAGATGGAGAGCTCTCTGTCTTTATGCTAAATAGAACTGCCCTGTGATCCAGCAACCCCACTCCTGGATATATATCCAAAAGTCATAACAGGAAGGTCTAGAGGTGATATTTGCAATCCATGTTGTTCACAACAGCATTATTCAAAACAGGCCACAGTGGAGCACCATGAATGTCCATTAATGGATAAATAGATAAACAAAATATAATGGAATACTGTTCACTTTTAAAAAGAAAGAAATTCTGACATATGCTATACATAGACGAACTTTGAGGATGTTATACTAAATAAAATAAACCACTCACAAAAACCACAAAGACTGCATGATTCCACTTGTATGAGGTATACAGAGTAGTCAAAGTGATAGGGACAGAAGGAGAACTGTGGTTGCCAGGGGCTCAGGAGAGGGAAATGGAGTCTTGTTTTTTACTGGGTGTAGAGCTTCAGTTTTGCAGGCAGTCTTTTAAGATCTAGACTGGTTGCACAACAATGTGCATGTACTTACCACTGAACTGAACTTAAAATGGCTCAGATAGTAAATTTTATATGTATTTTGCCAGAGTTAAAAAGTTTTAAAAAGAAATACGGATAAGAGTTACTATTGGCAATTTATTTTTTGAAAAAATCTTTTAAAATCTAGAATATATTGCTGCTTATCTCACCTACTCATATAGACCTTCTTCATGAAGGTTAGATTTAATTATTTGCATGTAGCTTGCTAAAGATCAATTATTTCACTTTAAAATCAAAGCGAATTAATATATCACTAGAAATATATGAATGTTACCAAAGGAAAAACTAGTACCAGGATCAGTAGTTCAGGGACTTAGTGATTAACCACAGCAAAACAGAACAGTATCACAGGGAGAACAGGAATGGAATTCATGGATATATTAAAAAGGTTTTATATAAGAATGCTCATCTTGGAGCACCATGATGGTATAGCAAGTTAAGCCTCTGCCTGAGACACGGGCATCCCATATGAGTGTTGGTTCCTGTCCTGGCTGCTCCAGTGCTAATGGCCTGGGAAAAGCAGCAGAAGATGGCCCAAGTGTTTGGGCCCCCACATCCACATGGGAGATCATGATGAAGCACCCAGCTTCTGGCTTTGACCTGGCCCAGTGCTGGCCGTTGCAGCCATCTGGTCTGGGGTGTAAACCAGCAGAAGGAAAATATTCTCTCTCTCTCTCTCTCTCTCTCTCTCTCTTTCTCTCCATCTCTTCCTCTCTCTGTAGCTCTGATTTTCAAAGTAAATAAATAAATATGTCTTTTTTGTTAAAAGACAGAAAGCTCATATCAAATATCATGACAATTATACCATGGAAAGAGAAACAGATACTGGAAAAAAAAAGAGTGTTTGGCAGGAAATAAACCAAACAAAAAAGAAAACTAAGCAAAAATCTAACATCAGAGGTGAACATTTGGTTCAGTGGTTAAGACACCACTTGGGATGCCCTGTCCCATATCAGAGGAACTAACTAGGTTTGAGTCCTGGCCTCCCTTCCGATTCAGTTTCCTGCTAATTCATAGCCTGAGAGACAGCAGACGATGGCTCAGTAACGGGTTGTCCGATAACCATGTTGAAGATAGTGATTGAATTCCTGACTCCTACCTAGTCCACCAGGCCTATCTCTGGCTGTTGCAGGCCTTTGGGGAGTAAACCAATGAATGAGATACATCTCTCACTGTGCCATTCAAATAAAATTTAGAAAATTGGTTGGTGTTTAGAAACTAACAACAGCAGCATCAGCAACTCAAAGGAAACCAAATGCACCTCCTTAGCACAGTAAGGCACCTGACTTGACACTGACTGTTCTTTCTTGTGGTGTTTGTGCGTATGTTGCCATGAAGGTGTGAAGCATCATCTAACCAAAGACCAGGCACAGACTCGGTATTGAGCATGTTTTCCAACTACCCAAGTGAAGAGCAGTTAAATAGGTAGCAGATCCCTAAGATGCTTTGGTTTTCACACAGTAGAAGAGTCAGAGAACTAACTCTGTTACAGAGAGATTCCAGAATACCTTACAACATTCACCATTCACCAGCAAGCAAAATGAAACCCAGAATTTCTATTTTTTTAACTTTTATTTAATGAATATAAATTTTCAAAGTACAACTTTTGAATTATAGAGGCTTTTCCCCCCATAAACTCCCTCCTACCCACAACCATCCCATCTCTACCTCCCTCTCCCATCCCATTCTTCATCAAGATTCATTTTCAATTATTTTTGTATACAGAAGATCAACTTAGTATATACTAAGTAAAGATTTCAACAGACTACACCCACACATACACACAAAGTATACAGCACTGTTTGAGTAGTAGTTTTATCATTAATTCACATAGTACAACAGATTAAGGACAGAGATCCTACGTGGGGAGCAGGTGCACAGTGACTCCCGTTGTTGATTTAACAATTGACACTCTTATTTATGATGTCAGTAATCACCCGAGGATCTTGTCATGAGCTTCCAGGGATATGGAAGCCTCTTGAGTTCACCAACTCCGATCTTATTTAGACAAGGCCCTAGTCAAAGTGGAAGTTCTCGCCTTCCTTCAGAGAAAGGCACCTCCTTCTTTGATGGTCCATTCTTTCCACTGGTATCTCACTCACAGAGATCTTTCATTTAGGTCATTTTTTTTTTTTGTCAGAGTGTCTTGGCTTTCCATGCCTGCAAAACTCTCATGGGCTTTTTAGCCAGATCCAAATGCCTTAAGGGCTGATTCTGAGGCCAGAGTGCTGTTTAGGGCATTTGCCATTCTATGAGTCTGCTGTGTATCCTGCTTCCCATGTAGGGTCATTCTCTCCTTTTTAATTATTATCTGCAGACACTGGTCTTATTTATGTAATCCCTTTGACACTTAATCCTATTTTTTATCAATTATAAATTTAAACTGATCACTTTAACAAGTAAGAATTTCTATACTGCTGAAGCAAAATGCCCTATGCTTGATCACTTCCTCAGTTATTTTGCCTCTTCCAAGAGAAGGGGAAAATAAACGCAAATGTGGTGTTGTGCTTGTTGAAAAGAGAGGAAAGTCTCAACTGATGAAAAACAAAGAAAACAGTCTTTGACCTTTGAAAATTTCCACTGTGCTTAGGCTACAAGGTTTGATCATTAGTACACAGAGAAAATGCTTCCCACTGACATTCAGATAGACACATTTGTTTATCCAAATTTTGATTTGAGATAAATAACATTAACATTTCCCTAGGTACTATTTTGAAGCATTCAGTTATTTTGTATACCTGGACCACACAAGTCAATATTTGTTTTTAATGGTTTAACAATGATAATGATAGACTATGTATTCAAAGAACTAATAAAAACCTTGGGGGCTGGTGTTGTGGCACAGCAGTTTGAGCTGCCACTTGTGTTTCCAGCATTTCATTTTAGAGCACCAGTTTGAGTTCCAGGTAATCTATTTCTGACCAAATTTCCTGCCAATAAGCATAGGAAGGCAGTGGAAGATAGCTCATGTCTTGGACGGCTGCCAGCCATTTGGGAAACAAGGATGGATTTCCTGGCTCCTGGCTTTGGCCTGGCCCCAATCTGGCTGTTGTGGCCATTTGGGGAGTGAACCAGTGAACTGGTTCTCTCAATGTCTGTCATCTATATGTTCTTCTGTTTCTGTCACTCTGCCTTTCAAATAAATGAATGAGTATTTTTTAAAAGGAAAGAAAAACCTTGATCCAATCATCTAGAACTTTAAAAATGTATATATTTGGCAAAGCTAGACACTATTGAAAGAATTGGTTGCTGTTAGATGATGTCAATTAATTGGATAAAGTTAGCCAGGTATACAGCCTTATAAATAATGATCATAGAACAGCAAAACCTGCCATTCCTTTCATTTTAATATTTTAAAATTTGTACCTGAAATCTAAATGTCCACCTCTATAGAATTGCCTCCATAACTATTTCTCCATGCATGTATCATTCTTGAAATATGTTTCATTCAAAAAATTGTGCTCCCATGTTTCAAAATGGTCCTTAATGATAGCATATCTTGTATACTTGTTAACATGCAAGACACATTATAAAATGCAGTGCCATTATGGGATATCTTCATCCACATTTCAACTGTTCTTGTCTTCCTCTGTAATCTTTCTTGGTTATACACAAAGAATGTGGCCATCAAAAGGATAATAAATGGCCTCTGCCACTGGGGTGTGTAATACGTGGAGTGGGAATTGATTTGTTGGTCATGAAGGAAGCCACAGAGCACACAGATCACTGCAAAATCGCATTCAAGCCAGCAGTTCCTCCTCAGTTCATGCAGACGGCTCCTCTATTGCTCACGGGGTGAGTGCCAGAGGGTGGAAAGAATGGTGGGGTCATCCAGTATTCAGCCGTTAAGTGAAACCTACTTCTCTGAACTTCAGCCACACTGCACAAGGCACACATCGATTCTCTGCCCACTCTCAGTCTTCAGAGACCTGAAGTCAAACATGATTTCTGTGATCTATCAGTATTCTAGTAGCAGTAGCAGTAGCAGTAGCAGCAGCAGCAGCGTAATAGTAGTAGTGGTAGTAGTAGTAGTAGTAGTAGTAGTAGTAGTAATGAAAGACCAACACTCCTTGGGAAGAAGAGTATTATATGCCTTCTTAAAATCTCTTCT